CAATATCTCTGTAATGGGAAGTGGTAAAGAGCTGGGAAGAGACACAATTGTTGCTATTATAACCCTCTATAAGGAGGGTTATAAGTGTAAAGATATAGCCACTCGTGTGGGAATAGGAGTGCGGCAAGTTCAAAAGTGGATCAAGAAATTTAGAGACGGCGGAGGTGAGGATATTCCTACCCCCAAGCCTCGCTCTGGTAGGCCAAGGAAAATACAAAATCGTACTTCCAAGGGTATGAAGAGGCAGATGGATAAAAATCCAACAGTCACAGGTCGAAAACTGAAGGAAAATAACCCTGCACTGCTCCAGGACGTGTCTGTAAGATGTATTTCTGATCATTTACTCAAAGATTTACAATATCGCAGTTGTTGTGCTAAAGTTCTTCCCCTCTTAAGTGTAAAAAATGTACGGGATCGCATTGCTTTTAGCAAGAAATATAAGGATTGGACCCTAGAAGACAGGGAACAAGTCTTGTGGAGTGATGAGTCAACGTTTGTGGTGTCGTCTGGCTGCAGGTCCAAGCGTGTCAGGCGTCCCAAAGGATCGGACCCAAATGGCCCCCGCTACACAGCTAAAGTTGTAAAGCATGCTCCAAGTGTTATGGTGTGGGGATGCTTTGCATTTGGTGGAGTTGGCAATTTAGTATTTTTTGAAAAAAATGAGAGTGTAAATCAGCACAGTTATTTCGAGTTATTGTGTGATAACCTGCCTGAAAGCTTTGAAAAGTGTAACGCTAGCTGGTTTATGCAAGATGGAGCTCCTGCTCACACAGCTCGATCTATTATCTAGTGGTTAGAGGACTGTGGTGTAGATTACTTCAAAAAGTGGCCTGGGAATTCACCAGACCTAAATCCCATAGAGCACGTGTGGCATATCATTAAAAAAGAGCTTCAGGATCGTGACGCTTCGACAGTAGCGAAGCTAAAAATAGAAGTACGTACAGGATATTTGGGATAATATCATTCCCCAACACGTAGAAAAACTAGCAAGATGCATCCCACGACGTTTGGAGAAGGTCATCAAGCTTAGAGGAAAATCGCTTGGCAAATAAGGTACGTCATGAGCCCTTTAAATGTCACAATTGTTTACATTCGTCTTGCGCCCAAACTTTCCGCTACCACTGTGTATATATATATATATATATATATATATATATATATATATATATATATATATATATATATATATATATATACATATACATATATATATATATATATATATATATATATATATATACATATATATATATATATAGCATATATATATATATATATATATATATATATATATATATATATATATATATATATATATATATATATATATATTATATATTATTTAATCATATATATAAAAAAAAAAAAAAAAAAAAAAAAAAAAAAAAAAAAAAAAAAAAAAAAAAAAAAAAAAAAAATAATATATATATATACAATATATTAAAATATATATAAATATATACGTTGTGCCCATAACGCGGTCAATAGAACCAAGAGGGTCCCGTGTTAAGTGAAATCAGATTAAGTGAACAACAGAACATATGGGATTAATTCCAATAGAAACCGGCCCGACCCCCAAAACTCCACTTTTTGAAGACACATAACTATGTTGTAGTAAAAATAACATCTTAATTTATGATGGTACGTACACAATATACTTAAGAGAAATGAAATACAGTCGCCAAGTTAATGTCCATTCAAATAATGGACTCAACTCCCCTCCCCTCTCACACTACACTGCCGGCTCTTCCCTCTCTGAAATTTTGGGGAAAACCTTAAATTTTAATATTCTGGCCGGGTAATTTGTATGAATTTTATGAGCTAAAACAAATATCTTCAGTTAATAAAAAAAAAAATAATCTTCAGACACTATCTGTCAATCAAAGTACCCACCTTGCCTCCCCCTCTTCCAACCCGCGGTCAGTCCCACCCCCACACACAATCATCCCTTCAAGAGAAGAGTGGGTGAAAAATTAGATTTAACATTTTGTATTAAATAATACCTCAGATTAAAGTTAGGATAATATAATTGACATTGCTGGATTCCTTGTAAAGACGAGGAATATTTTGAATATAAACGTCCTTATATTTTGCACAAAGATAACATACTTACTCAGATTAAACATTTATCTAAAAATTTTATGTCTAATGCAAAATATGATGTTTATATTCAAAATGTCATCAAATTATAAGAATTCAGCAATGTAAATCTCTGACCAGGTAATTTAATAGATTTTATGAGCTAAAACAAATATCTTCCAGTTAATAAAAAAAAAAAAAAATATTCTTCACCGGGTAACAGATGGTCGGTCGGTCCCTCCTCCCCCACCCCCCACCAACCGTCCCAAGGAGATGTGTGGGAAAACCAGAATACTTAACTTTTTGTAATAAATAATACCTCAAACTAAAGTTAGGATAATATAATTGACATTGCTGGATTCCTTGTAAGACCAGGAATATTTTGAATATAAATGTCATATTTTGCACAAAAGATAACATAGTTACCCAGAAAAATGTTATCTAAAATTTGTATGTCTAATGCAAAATATATGATGTTTCTATTCAAAATGATCACCAAATTATAAGAATTCCAGCAACGTAAATTATATTCTGGCCGGAGTAATTTGTATGAATTTTATGAGCTAAAACAGGCAGTCAGGCAGGGTGGCGGGTGGCGGTGGGGCAAATCTAAAAATAGCGTCTGGAGCCGGACACTCACCAGCGTATATGTGGAAAAATCAAGTGTTAAGTGAAAGTTCAGCTCTGGCGGGCACCCGTATATGATAAACGCGTTAAGTGAAACAGCGTTAGGCGGGGTAATACTGTATATATATATATATATATATATATATATATATATATATATATATATATATATATATATATATATATATATATATATATATATATATATATATATATATATATATATATATATATATATATATATAAAAAAAAAAAAAAAAAAAATATATATATATATATATATATATATATATATATATATATATATATATATATATATATATATATATATATATATATATATATATATATATATATATATATATATATATATATATATATATATATATATATATATATATATATCTTGATAAAATCACACGGGAAAATGGAAACAACGAAGTACCTTAGCTTTCGTCTTTATTCAAGACATCTTCAGAGGCAACTGGATGTCTTGAATAAGAGCAAAGCTAAGGTCCTCCGTGTTCCATTTACACTTTAGCACAATTATAACTAGCGCATTCTGCATTAGTCTACCATTGTAGAATTAATATGTATAATATCTATTTTGGAGCGCAGAACACACTGCTATAACAGTCATGATAAAAATTTCTTATGTCTGTCTAAATCTGTAAAGCAGTTTTTTGGCTCATACCACATGATACTAACCTTTTGAAAGACAGATCTCTGAGAACACTAGTGATATAATTACATGTTGAGGAATATAACCAGTACAGGTAGTCCCCGACTTACGACCACATGGACTTATGACCATTGGTACTTACGACCTGCTCTGACCTTACGTCCGTCGGGACATACAACAGCGGCAGTCATGACCAAAAATATTTTCAAATGAGTGCCGCATTTTCTATACCGGAACATTTCCGTCCTGGGCGAGAGCATGGCGCGTCTCGGGTCGCCTCGTAGGTACACTCACTCAGTGGAGCGCTTAGTTGGTGTTTGGCTGATCGTATGGCTGGCGGTTGCGGGCGAAGAACTTCGATTTATGCTTTTTGGCCCATTTTACAGGTGTTTATGTTGTCGTGATACACCGTGATATGCGGCTCCATAGCCTGCACCAACCCAGTATAGGCTTTCATAGCGGTCATCGTCGTGTCATGGAGAGGAGACTTTTCATTCTCTGCACACTCCATAGCTGTAATATCACTATGGGATTAAAACTGTGTTCTTTGAGAATGGCGGCACCTTCTTCCTCCTCTTCACGGTGTGATCTTCTTCCAACATCTGGATGGGCAGTCACTTCCAGGATCTCTGATCACCTCCAGGATGTAAGTGGTTGGTGGTCTCTCGGGAGAAGCCTGGAACTGTGACAGTCTGCGCAACTTTCTCTGGCAAGGTCCACTGCTACTGCAACATTCTGAACCTCACCAGTCACAGATTGACTCTCCTCTCACCTGGTATTCCATGCAACACATACTCACATGCGTGACAGGTGGCAACCAATAGACAGCTGATCCCATGACTCCACCAAGAAGTCCTAGCTTTCTTGATGTTAAATACTCTCAAGTGTTTGAACAGTATTTTTGCTGTGCCACCTGTTGATCCTCATCTTCGCTCTCTTGCTATCGATTGGTGGTGTCACTCAGGTTCACATAACTCTTCTAGTGTTGGAGTGTGATGGTTCAGGAGTTTGAATTTTTTTTGTTGAGAATGCAGCTTTTACATTACAGATTAACTCTTGGTCCATGAAACAGCCAACCATAGGCGTAGTGTTGGGAGGGAAGGAAGACCACTTTTACGTTGGGGTGGCGATCTGGTAGGCGGATGTCTGGTGGATTGTCCAGCAGCAACAAAATGATGAATGGCACATTCTGTCGCTCTAGAGAGTTTCTTTACGCCGGGAACAAAACGGTCATCAAACCAGGAAGAGGGACAGTGTGAAATTATCCACCTTTGTCGCGGTCAGGCAGTGGACATTAGCTTGGTCATGTCCACTGGTTTTGTCAGGCGTCTTGACTGCGTGCTGTGTGGATCACCGATAACGAGCTTACAGGTACGGGAGGCATTGGTGGTAAACAGGGCGGTGATGCGTTCCATCTTCCGGCCCCGAATCCTGCTGGCATTCTTTAGCGAAGGACTTGGAAAGTGCTTTCCAGAAAAAGACCAGAATTCGTCATGTTAAACACAAGTCACTGTACTGTCCTTCCTCCATAATCTCACATAAAAGCGAATTCTAACCGCCAACCACAGTCAGCCCTAAACTCTTCACCACCAATGTTTATATTGGGTGATCTTCATTCGGATCTTAAACCTCTGTAACCACCAGAGGAAGCATTAGTGTAATTCCCATCTTTCGTGCCACTCGTGTGCAGTTCACGTCGTAGTCATAACAGAAGCGGCGGCGTGTCGACACTTCATGTTCCGTCGCTCTGGCGCCAAGTACCTCACAAGTAATTTTCTGTGGCTTGAAAGCACCTGGTTGTGAAAATACTTGATCATAGAAGCACCTATGAGCTGTGATCGCTGCCATGCTCATATCTTAATACCATCCTTCTTTATTGTTGTTGAATCGTGGAATTCATTCACACCATGCTGGCGTGCCAAATCAACCTACTTGTTCCTTTCTCCAACTCTTGGATGATGGTATGCTCCACCGTAGCTGAAGAGGCGATGGGTAATATTTCTTTGGCTTATTGCCGCTGGGTGGAAGCCAGAAAGAATTTCTCTCTGGGGTGGTGGTCGTGAAGCCATTTTACAGGCAATGGATGCACGTTTACCGCAGTGTGACCTTGAGGATGAAACTGCAGCGGCCTAAGGTCAGCGTCGTCTTTCCTCCCTCCTCCCTCCCCGGGTGAACCGTCCTGTACTTTAAGCCAATTACAGCTAGGAGCAGAGGGGGGGTAGGGATGCATGGTCAATCACAGTCCGATATGTCATAAGATGTCAGTGATAGCATAACAAAGACACACACACACCTCGCACCCAGCAGCGCACATGGCGAAACGCTAGCGGAGGAGGAGGCGAGGGTACAGGCAGGCAGTCAGGCCGGGTGGCGGTGGGTGAATCTAAAATTAGCGTCGCGCC